CAAATCTGAGGTTATCCGTAATGTTTATCATGTATAATGCAGGACTATCAATTCAAATTAATTTCTGGGGCACTACCCAATATCTACTTTGGGTTGGGCCCCCTTAATGCTGATTCCTCCCGACAGACAGCACTTCTAGCTGGGAAATTACAGAAAGATATAAGAAAAAACTAACTATAGAAAAAACCATCTTTTCTGGACTTAATTTATTGAGCATGATCCGTGGTTTGCTCTCTCCCCTAAGTCTTCTGCTATTGTTTCGATAAACATTTTGCTGAAATATCGACCAAACTATATCTCCATTCGCCTGTTTTTTCCGAGGAATAAGACTAGTACTACTGTCTTATCTACCTATGTAAGTAATGTTCCTCGCTAATGCACTGAACAACGTAAGTAATGTGCAATGATCATGCTAATGTTTCCATCAGGACAATTTCACATTTCAGTGTTGGCAAAAACAGCAGCGAAACATACCACATTTGCATCCATGCAATGTCACGCTTACAGGTGCAAAGAAAATATGCACATGAATGAGCACTGCAGAATGAAAGACTTCCAGAGCCTTGCTGCTGCAGTAGGGATAATGTCATCAGGAAATAACCGACATTGTCAGAGTGAAGCAAACACCAACCTTTCACTGACCTCATAGGAGAGTTGGACCCCAATACCATAATATCACCTGCTACTTGAAGTAAACCTCTTGGTAAAGCGGGAGATGATAATGAAATCTGTACCTCCCCTCCCTTATCTTTTCCTAGATTTTTTGCACCACCCCACTCCTCACTTTCATTGCCTTCCCATGGCCTACATAATCGAGCATCATATACATTTCCGACAACCGAGATTCATGTTGAGAAAAGGTTGAGCTGTGAAAAATTGTTAAAATGCTCTCAGAATATTGATGAACTAATTGCACCTTAAGCTGGGGCGTAGTTTTTGAAGATAGGCTTAGGAGCGGTAAAAAATATGGGATGAACCCCAAAATATGGATGTTCCAGACAAGTGCACTTCCTCACAAACTTGGAGGAGGGCTGGAGCCCTGAACTGAATAAAAGATAGGAACACCCCTGATTTGAAGATTTATGTGGCTGGTAATCATTTTCATTCGGGGCAAGCGCAAAAATGGCATAAATCTCCAATTCAGAATTATTATTATCTCCTGTTACTCTCCGTCATGAAGAGTACTATTAAACTTCTACTACATCAGATCCACGATTTTTTAAAGGGAAGAAGGCTGGTGGCTTGTGACTGGTTTAGTGGGTCAGCAACCTTTTCGGTGTGAAAGGGAGGTTTGGATGATCATAGGTCAATTTCTACCTTGATCGAATCATACCGCCGATTTACTCTGAACTGTCAATGTCTCTCGTCGCTGAGGACAGGATGCTGAATCACGGCACAGCCAACGAAGTAAACAAAGCTGGAAATTAAATCCCTGGCAGGTTTTTATGACAATGCAAGGTAGATGACATTTTCAAAGTTACAGCGCATTGAAAGCCACCGCCTACCTCATATCAGTCGTATCGCAACGGTTGAAACACGCCCTTGTGGCCAGATAAATCCCCATATCTATATATTTTTCAGTACTTTACACTGTCTAGTTTGGGGCGCTGAGAGTCGGCTGTTAAAAACAGCGAATCGGTGGAACGGCCGCGTCATAGGGAATACACTGATTTGTCGCCGACCTGTCTCCGATTCGGCCGAACAACCAAAAATCATGGGATAATTTTGTCGCCGGGTTAGAATGGAACCTAGAAATGATACCAGGGTGCCGTAGAGTATGGCAAACAGTCTTCACAGAAGCGTTTGCTTGTGTTGTGTGACGAAATGTATTACCATGGAGGCAATATATAGGTATAGAGACATCTTGTTAAGTTTTGTGTGGTGTGTCGTATTTTGTCGTCCTGGCCGTCGCCAAAATGTGCCGTCCAAAAACATTGTTGGCATCATGCTTCGGGCGAATAAATGCATTTTTGTCGCTGACCTTATCCATCAAGTCGGTACGTTTTAGTACCCTTGGCGTGGCTTTGGAACCACGGGCCGTAGAGTTCTTACAGTTCGTCGACCTGATAGTCAAGTTTTTAGTTGTCTATAAGCCTTTATTTGCAAGGTTTCTGTTGGATTCTAGACTTGGAAGGATTCCTCGAAACCCTACTGGATTCTCTACTATCTCTTACCTAGTCCCGAGCACGACTGTGACAAAATTCGCTTCAGTATTCTGAAAAATTCCAACAGTGCTTGCATGTGGAATGCTGGGGAGTACATACGGTGTTTCGCCAGGGCCAAGTCAAAAATGGTTTCCGCTATCATAATCTGGGGTCAATTGTCCCGCTTTATATTTCTATAGTGAAAATCACTTTTGCATTGTATTTTGTTGCCCCTCGAGATATGAATACACCGTGCCGAATTAGCAAAAACACTATTAGAAATAAGCCCATGTTTGTTCATGGGCATCTGGTGCTTACCTCACCACTGAACTCTATATGTGAATCCGCCCATATCTGGGTTTATGACTTGACCTTGCCTGGATTGGTGTTGTGAGCTAAAGGTCGTCGCGTATGGCATTTGCGTTATCCAAGCAAACCCAATACTACGTTTTAAACCCAGTTCATTCATCAGTTTGGCAAATTACAAAGGAGAAACCAATTCAGCTCTGACGTCTACAGTGATAATATTTTCAGGCTCAATCTGTGCCAATACAATACAATTTACGTATGTGAACATATAATTTGAATTATAAACTACATACTGTAACCAATTTATGCACCTCTTAACTTGAAACGGGTCTGTACAAATCACCCAAATTAATTGTGCTAACCCGTTTTTGAACTGAATTAAATCGCTAACGAATCCTCCTATAATTCCCGCTATTTCATACTCTAATCCCTCGTGGATGTCCCTCACAATCCCTCATAATCCCTCTGTGCATGGATAAACCCCAAATTTCGGATGCGTTTGAGGCCTATCGAACAACTGTAGATAAAGGGAATTATTCTGCAAACAACCCCTGATATATCCTCCGTCACCAATAATATTCTGGATGCATTTTCTGCCCACAGGGTCGTCCTGAGTTTACATTTCCAAGCATGACGTTCGCGAGAAGTACTTGCCGCATTTTTAAATGTTACGTCAGTTTTGGTCCAAATCGCTTGGATGCTTAAAATCCACCGCACAACTTCACTGCCTGTTCCACACATGGTCTAGACCCGGCGGACATGTTACGGGTACGCCTACAATGTCTGTATTTCTGGTACGCGCGAGCCTCTTTCCAACCGACTCACCTCTCCAACTGGTTCGGTGTACAGGAGCATGGAGTGTTCCGGACAACGGACAGGGTGAGCCGACGTCTCTGAGGGCGCAGTTTTTCCGACCTCTGCGGGTCGACGGCCGCATCGATTAAAGCCTGGCGTCGCTCGTAGCTTCCTGCTTTCTGTTCGCCCGATTGCCAGCTCAGATTGGGATTTAATTGCAGGTTATAGGCTTAAAACAAAAGGTTGATCTTGCGCACAGATGATTTACATCACCAGACTTCCTTGCTCACAACTTTTGCTCATTGTCTGACGTGGCAATCTTGTATCGATCCGAGCTGGAACAGATAAGACGCAGTTATTAGAAATTAATGAGGAGTCAAAAGCGCCGATGGCATGACCGTGCCTCTGTCAGCCGAGATTAATGTCTCCTCTTCCTCAGGTCCGGGGTCAGACATGGCAAGCACGTGTCTCACATGGCCATCAAATCATCCGCGAGCGCCTACAAACGGCTTATGCTAGACAGACACACAATGAACATCGCAGGCTCTTGCGCTACCAGGCTGGCGTCATATTATCACACCACCGACGCGTGTCAACAGCCATGCATTATACACGGCTGTACGCGAGCCTTACCTTGCAGCGGCGGCTGTACGCGAGCCTTACCTTGCAGCGGCGCCCTCTGTAAGCTGCGTCGGCGGAAGCCCGCCCGTCGTCACGGTGGGAGCATCGGCGGCCGGCGTCGCGCCGAGGCACGCCACCCGGTTGTTCGCGGACCTTTCGTAGCACCTCCGCGCGGCGGTGCGGCGCCGCGAAAAGTCGTCACCAGTCGACACTGCTGAGGAAGCGCAGCGTCTCTCGTGACCGGAGATAGTCCATCAGACGCGTTGCGTTGCGCGTGACAGGAGAGGACGCCGCGTGCCGTTGCGTGTTTGGGTTCGAAAGATGCATGTCAAGGGCAAACATGTAGCCGGAATAACTTGCATCACTCTCCTCAAAAAATCTCCATGTCTCCAAAAATCTCCATCTCCATCTCTATGGACAGGGCCTGATTCAACATCCAGTCTCCGGGGCAAACTTAATTTCTTTACTCCAGCTTCTGCCAACAGTCCCATCGCCCTATGCCCGTGGGCACACCAGTGACGCTTAACATCTTAGGACCTTCACAGAGCCTTTTCAAGAATCAAGCATATATTAGTCATGTGTCAGAACTGCCCAAGAACCTAGACTGCTTCGCGATCTAAAAAGTATGCCATTCATCTGAAGCCAGCAAGGCCCAGTCGATGGACATGTTCACGGTTATCAGCTACGATCTTAATCCGCAAGGCTTTTTGCAAACTTCAAGTATTTGCCACATGGGCGCGTGGGTCTCGCGTTGAAACGACACAAATGGACCAATGCAATGCCTCACCTGTTCTGCTCCGAACCAATCCAGAGGCCACTGCGCCACCAGCAAAACTGACCGCTCCGCGCCAATGTCCGCCCTGTCCGACCCCATCCGACCGCAACAAAGGCGTCGCCGGCGAAAAAGCCACGCTGCCAACTGGCGGTATCGCGCCCGAGATCAGCCCGTTCGTTTTCCGGTCGGCCTCGCGTCGGGCCGCGGCTGTAGACGCGCGTCGCGCGCGACGCGCAGCCCGCGTCGCCGTCGTCGAAGCGTCGGCCGGCCGGCCAGCCGGTCAGTCGACCGCCGACCGCCAGCGCCGCAGGGCACGCGCCGGTGACGGGGGTCCCGAGGTCAGACGCGGGCACGAACGGCGGGTCAGAGGTCGGCGCTCGGGACGACCCTGAGGGGGTGGCGTCGCTCCAGGACTGCGCAAGGTGCGGAGGTGGCCAGGCACGTGCGATGGACCACGTTGTGGATTGAGCGGCCCTTCCAGCGCTCGTCGCCTGCTGAAGCTGGAGTGGCGGGAGATTGGGCTCGATCTGGAGGGCTCGTGGGAGACGTTCTGCCAGGTCGTATGGGACGCGGTGCGGCGGTCGGGAGCTCGGCGAATGGCGGAGGCGAGTGATTGCCATTAGCCAACGCCGTGGGGCCGCGACGCTCCTAGCCTGGTCGTCAGCGGAGCGTGTCGTTGAGCCCCAGCACTTGAAGGCGGCTCAACTCTGGACAGGCGGCGGCGCCTCTGTCTTAAGTGGACGGCTGCTCCGGCGCCGGCGGTGCGCCCGGCAGACACTTCTTCAAGGAGTGGACCTCCGCACCACCACCGCGCGGGAGCTCTGGTCACGCTCGAAGCGGACATTGGCTTGCCCCGAGAGTGTTGGCTGGATCTGGGTGGACAGCCATTTGACGGACAAGCACAAGAGGGATCTCACCTGACTGCGAAGCCGGAGAAGGGCTCTGCCGTCCCTCGGCTGCTGTTGAGTGACGGTGTTTCGTTGAGCCGACCATATCTTACCGCGCCGTCAGAACATGATAGTGTTCGGGCTTCTGTTGGTGCTGGGAGCAATGTCCGCGGCGGACGATATCTCAAGTAAGTCACCCTTGCCCAGCGGGCACTTTTCGCTTGTACTGAGGCCTCGAAGCTTAGCTAGCTAAAGTCACGGGGGAGGGGGAGGGGGAGGGAGAGGGGAGGGGGAGGGGAGGGGGAGGGGTGCTCTAGAACTTTGTTGCCAGCTTGCATCACAGGTGACCTTTGACATGTGGATGAGGGACATCGTGGTTGACTTAGCACTTTTGGCCCCTGTCACTCTTTTTTGCTGTTAAGTATTCAGGCATGCTTCGATGGTGTAAACGGCATTTTATAACTCTGGAGTTGTTTTTTATTGGGTGACACCGGTAGATGTTCACTGGCGTGATCTAGAAAATGCCATCTCTTGTCAAAACAGTGAAGGATGTCGTGATATTGCTTGTCCGGGCCATATCAATAACTAAAGTACAGCATTAGGGAAAACAGTACTAGAAAGGCATAACAAATCTGTAAAATGGACCACTAGGTTTTAAACTGCATGACCCGCAAAAGGTCGGATCTGGTCAAAAAGGTACATTTTTGGCCCAACTTGAACTTAAATGAACCGACGTTGCAATAGTAACCAAAACTATTGACATACAATGAAGATTGATGCAAATTCAGCAACACAGGCTATAAAGCGTCTCTGAGCGAATTTGCTTTGTAAAAATGGATTTCCGCACGTAGAAAAATAGAATCAACGCGGTTACACCAAGTTTAAACACCGTACTCTCAAAGGTGTTCAACGATCATTCCAGTAAAGCTTTGGGACGGACTCTGGGTCCCTTTTTCCTGGGGCCAGGACTCACGCGATGCCTACAGGCAGGTCTAGGTGATTGGGAGCATGTGTACCCAGTGCGTGGATAAAAGAGGCAGGAGAACAAGATCCGTGTTACAATGGCCTTGAAACGCTTTAAAGATATCACGATGCACTTAATAACCGCCCTGTAAGAAGCATCTGAGACCATCTGAATGCGTGTCCTCTCACTGGACCTTGACGTGATATACAACCTCCAGCGAATACCGTCTTGTGAAAATTTGTCATGTACTTTGATTTTACCGAGCTGAAATTGTGCTTCCGATGTATTGGCGAGCTGCCCATCTCAGTCCGTACATAAAAGGAAACGACCGAAGTTGGGAAATAACTGACATCTTGAATGTCTCATACCAAATGTTTCCACCACTGTCAGCCTCAGCGCGCATCCATGTTTGAACTGTGCAGCGCTAGCTGAATGCCCTCGTGTTGACAGAGCCTTTGATTAGCCGTCCCAGATGGAACGCCATTTCCTCGAAGGCGTTTCAGAGCATTTACATGCCTTTTACATCCTTTCATGTACAGTTGAAAGGGATAGCTACATTCTGCTTAACAGGCTAATCCGATCTGCGGCTGTTTGGTATTTTGAGGACGACGTGCAGACTCAGCTCCGCCAAAGTTTGACCCGAGATTAGGCGGGCTCTGCTCGGCTCACACGTGCGTGCCTCCATCGAACATGCCGGCGGCGGGCCGACCGCGCCCGCCCAATATATCACCAAGATGGTCACCAGAAATAGCGCCAGGCTACTGTTCTCAAATCAGCCGGCTGGAATCCCATTAAAGAGATGGGGTTTTACGGCGTGATGAATGCTCGCAGCCGTGGTAAAATTGATGCTCTATCAGATCGGCGACGATGCATGGATGAGCGCCAAAGATGCATCCCAATATCTGCATACAGAAGAGCGTCAGACTCGCTACGTGCCTGCTCGTGCGATGGAGTGGAATCCGTGACACATGACGCATAGCGCGTGCCTGGAGTGCTGTTGGTTTCAGCCGTCTGCGGCCCGAGCTCCCGCCAGCGGTGCTTCCACGCGCCGCTTCCGTGCGGCCCAACGCGCTCCCCTCTCCACAAGTGGCCCTCTGACGCGCAGGACAGGCTCTTCGGGTGGACCGCGAAATTGAAGGCGTTTGGAGCCGGCAGCAGCGAGGCCGGTGTGCGTGTCAAGTGCTGGGGAGGAGCGACCGCGGGGCGCCTCCGAAGGCCGCTGGCGAGCGGCGGCGGCGGCCGGACGAGGATGCCGTGGGCCGGTGGCCGTGCCTGGGATTTCAACAGCGTCCAGACGGCATCGCGAAGGCAGTCTGAATCCCAGCCCCCTGCCTGGCCTCCATTTTGCAGTCGATACTCAGGTCGTTAGGGAACTGTATGGCTCCGAGCGCGGTCTGGCCAGCAGAGGTGGTCTCGTGAACTGCTGGCGTTTCTCGGCAGACCTCAGCGGGCGTCTCCGACGTGGCCGGGGGCGGGCGTTGCTTCTGCTGCGGGCGGGACCGTTCCTGATGGCTCCAACGGGGCCGTGCCGAATCGGCCGTGTTCCTGACGGCCGTGCCGAATCGGCTGCACCCAGCAGCCTCCAGTCGGCGCAGCTACTCTGGTTGCGGCTGTTGAGCGGTGTCTCCGGTGGCTGCTACCCGGCATTGCATGCGTCGTCGACGAGCCAACGCGATTTCACGCATTCACGCATTTCACGATTAGCTACATTATGACTTTTCAGCGACCTAATAACTTCATAGTGCTACTTTTCACGATAGCCTTAGCCCGAGTGGTGTTTCCGGTGCGAGTGTTGATGACATGGTATGTGATCAGTGCAGATTCCTGCACGCATAACCAATGGACAGTTGTTTGCATCGCTCGCACGTATTGACTCTCGCCCTCATCACTTAAGTTCTATTCTCACCCAGCCGCAAGTCTCGTAAGAGTGCGTACCGCCCTCCCGCCAATCCCCACCACCAGCACCACTCGCCAGCCCACCAAGAACGACACCTCGTCATTGTGTGACCTGCCACACAGCCGCCAGCGTGTCGCCAGCGTTCATCAGCGGGTGACAAACTCCAAGTCCGCATCCGAACCAACGGCTGCGGCGGGGACAGCAGCGGCGCACTAACGGCCGCCGGGACGCCAGCGGCCACAGACGCCTCGTTTCCCGTCCCCGGCGATTTATAGCGTGGCGCTGAGCGACGAGCAAAATTATGAATGGCCGTTTTTGCATGCTTTCGCCCTCTGAACGCCGACCGCGCACGGAACTCGGTAATGAAGTGCATAATCTGGGGGCGGCTCGTGCCGGCGTCGGATGCCGTCCCCTGATTGGCTCGCTCGCCAGCAGACGCTAAGCTCCCTTCAGCCCGTCTGTTTGAGAGGATTGGTTCCACCAAAGAAGTTTACCCAGTGCGCGCCGTCTATTTGCGTAGCAGGCGGGGGCTGTCCGCGCGGGTGGACATTGACAGGATCTCGGTGCACGCGACCCCTGCGGAGGCTGTGCGAGCAAGGTGCATTAGGATAGCCGAAGCCGAACAGCGAGAGGAGGGACGGATTGTGCAAGTGTTTCCACCGGAGGCCTCTGGCGGCTACGGAGCGTATGCGTAAGGCAGATACATAGTTGCTTTAGCCCTCCCACTTGCGGTAAGGAACGCACGCGCGCACGTACGCACTCCGCCTGTATATTTGGTTTGGAAAGGGTTAGAGAGACGACCGAAGCGTCCTTTAATAGCCCATTCAAAGCTTGACAAGACTGAATGATGTCAGTTTGGTACTTGAAGTCAGAGTCAATGTCATCTCAGGTCAAGTTAAATGCTTTCCTCTCAAATCAGTTTTCGGCAGCTACCGCCTTCGGAGCTCACCTCTGCGTGGATGTATATGTCTAATAATGGCTGCGTATACGCGATTAATATCAAACGTGTGCGTTTGGCAACAGTCAACACAGGTCGCCAAGGGCATTGATTGTTTCCTTTGAACGAGAAGCGTCTTTGTTAACCAGGTGTGTTGCTGGGTGGCTGACAGCAGCCATGGACGACGCCACCGTACACTGACTGGGTAGGAAGGTGTTGCTGATCGAAGGAGTGCGTTAGAATGAAAGGCAACAAAGTATCATGAATCGCAATCAATAAATTAGGTCACGTTAGTTCCACGATTATTATGAGCAGGCCTTTGTGAAACTGGCATCAAACAAGTATGTCTGATGAACAGAGAGGGTGATGTATTGTTGAATAAATAAATGTTTTATGCTTGGTTGACTTCTCTATACGACTGACGCATACCGCACACCTTTACTTTCATTTGCCCTCACGTAACACATATAGCCCCACAATCGAGAGCCTAGAACTACCTGCGGTGAAACTTTTCCATTTCCATTTCCAAAGTCTGACACAATACGTACGATATGAAAGCATCCATGGTATGCACAGGTACCTTGTGCAAATAAACAAACATTATGCGCGTTATACACCTGTACTGTCAACTAGTAACTGCATACTGCTAACATCTAACCTAGCCGATAACGATATTTGCCGCCACACGCTTACGTTGACACATCCCGTACTTAAGTTGCAGGAGACAAGACACTTACTTTTACATAACATAAGACAACAAGCTCGGAATAAATATACATATATATTGTACACATATATATTGTACACATATATATTGTATACATATATATTGTGTGTGTGTGTGTGTGTGTGTGTGTGTGTGTGTGTGTGTGTGTGTGTGTGTGTGTGTGTGTGTGTGTGTGTGTGTGTGTGTGTGTGTGTGTGTGTGTGTGTGTGTGTGTGTGTGTGTGTGTGTGTGTGTGTGTGCGTGTGTGTGTGTGCGTGTGTGTGTATGTGTGTGTGTGTGTGTGTGTGTGTGTGTGTGTGTGTGTGTGTGTGTGTGTGTGTGTGTGTGTGTGTGTGTGTGTGTGTGTGTGTGTGTGTGTGTGTGTGTGTGTGTGTGTGTGCGTGTGTGTGTGTGTGTCGCTTGCCGTATCCGATCGAGTAGGGTGTCGCACAGGTGGGCATTTCCTGTGCAAAGCCAGTTCGTGAGGACAAAAGACTCGTCTGTGAGATTCATCGCAATGCTGTCAGGATATGTTGTAACTCACAAGTGCATCGAATATTTGCTAAGCGCACGGAGACAAACAGCCGGCGAACGAACGAGTCCGGCACCCGTGAACCCATGTCAGCACCTCTTGAAACAGCTCGCCGGCTCAGCCCGTCACCTTAAACCGTCTTAAATGCCGGG